GCTAACCAAAGCGCTGCTGCTAACTGAAACACAGCTACTGTCGCTAACCAAAGCACTGCTGCTAACTGAAACACTGCTACTGTCGCTAACCAAAGCGCTACTGCTAACTGACAAACACATCCACCAGCTAACAGACATCTCCATCTGTTTCATCTTTCAGGTTCTGGTAAAGCAGAGTGCGTTCGGGCGGTCGACGTCCTGACAGTGCTCAGAGAGAAAGTGGCCTTCGTGTCAGGTAAAACACGCACCTGCAGATTTTAGCCCAGTCTGGTCCAGTCTGGTCCTGATGTGACCCGGTTTAACTCAGTGTGTTTTACAGGTGGACGGGACAAACGTGGTGGACCAATCCTGACCTTCCCTGCCAGGACCAATCACGATCGAATAAAACAAGAAGACCTCAGCCGATTGGTCACTTACCTGGCGACCATACCCAGGTAACACTCCCTTGGTCTGTGTATCTGTCGGCCTCTCCTCCTGTCTCCTCCTTGGCCTGTCTCCCCTGTTAACCCCTCTGTCTGTCTGTCTGTCTGTCAGTGAGGATGTGCGTGCTCGTGGCTTCACCGTGGTGGTGGACATGCGCGGCAGTAAGTGGGACAGCGTCAAACCGGTTCTACGGACGCTGCAGGAGTCGTTTTCCTCCAACATCCACACGGCGCTGCTCATCAAACCAGACACCTTCTGGCAGAAACACAAGACCAACCTGGGCAGCGCCAAGCTCAGCTTCGAGGTACTACTGCAGTACTACTTCTCACAACTGCAATACTACTGCTAACTAAAGTGCTACCAGAGACCTACCAGTGCTTTTACAGTGCTACTGCTGATATGAATAGTTCTACTGCTGCTAACTGAGGTTAACACTATTGCTGCTTATTGAACATACCCGACTGTCTCTTCAGACCAGCCTGGTGTCAGTGGAGGGTCTGTCCCGGCTCGTCGATCCCTCCCAGCTGACCTCTGACCTCGGCGGTTCATTGGAGTACGACCATGTCGAATGGACCGAGCTGCGTCTGGGTCTGGAGGAGTTCATGGGGGCCGCCACACAGCTGCTGGCCCAGCTGGAGCAGCTGGAGGCCGGGCTGAACCGCATACCGGAGCCCCAGGATGTGGACGAGGCCCGCAAGTGAGTTCCAAAGTGTTCAATAACTATGAACCACTGCTTTTATAAAGATGTTTTTGTTTATGGAGTAATTCTTTCCCGTTCCAGACTTCTGGAGGAACATGGCCGTCTTCGTAACACCATCGCCACGGCACCAGTCGACGCCCTCGAGCGAGAGGGACGGAGCTTGCTCCAGCGCATGCGCCTGGGCCCCTCCCACAGTGACACCTCCACTGAAGGCAGTGGTGGCGGCGGTGGTAGTCACGGCAGCTGGCTGTCGGGCGGAGCAGACTTCCAGAGTGTTGCGCCAAAGGTTTCGTCTTTGCTGGACCGGCTGCAGGCGGCTCGCACTCACCTGCTGCAGAGCTGGAGCGACAGGAAGCTGCACCTGGATCAGGCGCTGCAGCTGCACCTGTTTGAGCAGGATGCCACCAAGGTCATATTTAATTTTACTACTACTGCTAACTGACGTACAATTACCACTAAACAACCAGTACAGCTGATAACCGAACTACTGCAGCTGTTTTTCACTGAAATACTACCACTGATACAGAAACACTGTTGTACTGTCTCCATCTCAGATGTCCGAGTGGATCGCTCACAGTAAAGAACTGTTCGTGCAGAGTTTGGCGGAGGTCGGGCAGAACCACCAGCATGCCCTCGACCTCCAGACACAGCACCAGCACTTCACCGCCAACTGCATGGTCAGTGTGATTGTTTGCTTGTTTGTTTGTTTGTTTGTTGTGTGAAACACAACCTTAACAATGCGTCTCCCCGCAGAACGGCAGTGTCAACGTGGACAGCGTGGTTACTGTGGCAGCCAGGCTGGCAGAGGCCGGTCACTATGGGGCAGAGCGAATCGCCATGGTGTCGTCGCGGCTTCAGGAAGACTGGAAGTCCCTGACGACGGCGCTGGAGGAGCGCAGCAACACGCTCGCCATGGCAACCGGCTTCCACCAGGGGGCAGAGCAGGTGAGGAGCACTACATACCAACCTGTCTCACCACCTCTCTTTCTGTCCCCACCTGTCTCACGTCCACCTTCTCCACCTGTCTGTCTGTCTGTCTGTCTGTGTGTCCAGTTCCTGCTCAAAGTGGAAGGTTGGGTTCAGGCGTGCTCTGAAGGCCCGTTGCCGTCGGCGACAGCAGAGCTGGAGGCTGCAACAAAGAAACACCAGGAGCTGAATGAGGAGATCTCTGCCAACTACACCCAGGTACCTGTCTGTCTGTCCCTCCAATCGTCTGTCTGTCTGACTGACCAGCTGTCTGTCTGACTGACTACCTGTCTGTCTGCAGGTCAGTGAGAGCGGGAAAGCCTTATTGGACGTCCTCCAGCGTTGCCCGGCAACCGAATCCGAGGAGTCGACGGCCAAACCGGACTTCACAGCTGCCACGCACGGCATCATGGGAGTTCTGCACCAGGTCATGCAGGTACGTGTCATGGTCACATGTCACACATCGCCAAGAGACAGACAGGTGGCCAGGTGTGACGTTGTCTTTGTGTTGTTGCAGGGACACCATGAGGTGGAGGTGGCGTGGCAGCACCGGAAGCTCCGCCTCCACCAGCGCCTGCAGCTGTGTGTGTTTCAGCAGGATGTGAGACAGGTAGGACGAGTTCAGACCTACGTCAGGGTTCAGGTCCAGACTCATGGACGCCTAAAGCCTGTCTGTCTCTCTCTTCACCTGTCTGTCCCTCTCCACCTGTCCGTTTCTCCCTCCCTGTCCACCTGTCTGTCTCTCAGGTGTTGGACTGGGTGGAGCAGCATGGTGAGGTCTTCCTGAACAAACACAGCGGGGTGGGAAAGTCTCTGCACCGAGCGCGAGCGCTGCAGAAACGCCACGACGACTTCCAGCAGGTGGCACAGGTAAACACATGAGCCCCGCCCACACCTGGATCACCTGACGCACCCCGCAGCGGCCATGTTGAATAAATGATACCTGTGTGTGTGTGTGTGTGTGTGTGTGTGTGTGTCAGAACACGTACACTAACGCAGAGAAGCTCCTGGAAGCAGCCGACCAGCTGGCTCAGTCAGGAGAGTGTGAGGAGGAGGAGATCTACCAGGCTGCCAGGGACCTGGAGCTCCGCATGCAGGTACACTGCTCTTATTGTGAAGGGCACAGACAGGAAGTGCTGCAGGAAGTTAACGTGTGTTGTGTGTGCAGGCCTTCATCCAGAGGGTGGAGCAGAGGAAGCTGCTGCTGGACCTGGCTGTGTCCTTCTACACCCACACCAAGGAGGTAACACACACTGCTGACACCTCCCACTGACACCTGACACCACCCACTGACACCTAAGACCTCCCACTGACACCTGACACCACCCACTGACACCTGACACCTCCCACTGACACCTGACAACACCCACTGACACCTAACACCTCCCACTGACACCTGACACCACCCACTGACACCTGACACCTCCCACTGACACCTGACAACACCCACTGACACCTAACACCTCCCACTGACACCTGACACCACCCTCTGACGCCTGACACCACCCTCTGATGCCTGACATCTCCCACTGACACCTAACACCTCCCACTGACACCTGACACCACCCACTGACACCTGACACCTCCCACTGACACCTGACACCTCCCACTGACACGTAACACCACCCTCTG